AAAAAAAAAAAAAAAAAAGAAAATGAAGAGGCGCGAATAGAATAGAAAAGATACAAAACGCGGCGAGACTTTTAATTTACGCTGTTTTGTCCATCCCGTGCGCGCTCTCGAAATAACGCCGGTCGACAGGACCCGCGTATCGTGTCCGTCTCTCGCGCGTGATTAACGATCCAAGGATTTAAGGAAAATAGTTCCATGACGCCTGATGCCTCTGTTAGCTTTTATACAGGCAACCACGTCCGCCCGCCTGCCGCTCCATTTCCACTGCACGCCAGATTTACTGCGTTATGGACGGCCGAGGGAAGCTGCAAATCGTTCTGTCACTGAAAGACCGACTGCGCTTGACGTTTCCTGCTCCGCCGTATACGCTCGACCGTGCTTCGAGGATCGTTCTCTCTCTCTGCGTTTCGGAGAAACTACCCCCTCCCCCCTTGCCACTCGCGATCTCGATCCTTACGTTTTGCCTCGGTTACTTTGTATTTTTTTTTTCTCCTTATTTTCTCTCTCTCTCTCTCTCTCTCTCTCTCTCTCTCTCTCTCTCTTTTCTTTTTATTTATATTTTATCTTCCTCAAAAGTATTTCCACTTTTTCGTATTATATCTGTCGAGTTTACGAGTTCGTAGGAGAGTTTGTTCGTAGGATCGTAGGAACGTTTGCGTTTGGTCGCGATTATAGAATCGTCGAGGATTGAAACCATTTTTAAGGAGGGTTTAGGAGGTTTCAGTAGATATATATTTCGAGATATAGATTCGTTTTAAGATCGTAGAAGAGTTTATAGTTTTGTTACCGTTGTAAAGGTATGACGCGTCAAGGTATCACTATGATGAATTTTCTTTCTTGGGGTTCTTTGTAGGGATAGATAGATTTGTGCATTTATCGAAGATTTAAAGAAATACGGGGGGAAATACGTACGTCGTGGTACGATAATACAAAAGGAAACAATGTGGGAAAGATGTCACGATTGAAATTTCTTCCAGTAATTCTTCGAGTAATTCGATAATTGATCAGTTTTTAACCAGTTCCTTCGTTTTAAGTCTTCTTAACTTAAAGGCCGTTAACACCATTCGTGGCGAGAGGAATATTTTTTTAATCTGTGATACCGGTATTTTTGAATAAGAAAGTATTTTTCTTGAATTTCTATAGATTCTTCGTAGGTTCACGATTCGAACATTAGAGCTAGAGAAATGTCAGCGATGATTGTTAATTGGAATAGAAAGAGACGTGAAAAAACAAAGAGAGAGGGGCGAGTGATTTTTTATAATAAAATGACTTGTGCAACGAAAGCTATATATGTATATGTATATATTCTTTAAATACTGTGATACTGATAATCTTTAAATGATAAAAAAAAAAAATGATATTTATTTAGCGTACGATGAGCGTCGTTGACGATGACGAATGAATAATAATATTTAGATCAGTTTAGCCTTAGTAAAAAGCTTGAAAAAAATGAGTTCTGTATCATCAGTCGTATAGCATTGTTTTTTTTTTCTTTCTTTCTTTCTTTTTTTCTTTTTTTACCTTCTTTAATTCCATCGTCGTTTTAATACGGTAGGAACGAACGTTGTTATTAGAATTATTTATTACGAAGGTGTTGTATTTTAGCAAATATTTTACAGACAGATACTCGGGCAAATATTTAGACAATTAGAAATTGGTACGAAAATGTATACCCTGTAATAATAATAACGGGAATAAATAAATAGAAACTCTTAGCGCGTGAAATTTGTTAAGAAAACAAGTGGAATAATTGCGCGATAGAACGGGCGTGATGACGGGGTATTTTACTTCTATCGGGATATTAATATCGCGAAACGAATAGCAAGCATTTTTTATTACACGATTATATCGCTACTGATTTATAATATATATGATATATATATATATT